GCTAATGACACATAGAACCTTGTAGCAATAATAACTAAATAAGTACTAAAATTGTAACATAGAACCTTGTAATAGTGAGCCAACTATATGTATAACAGAGCCATCTGAAAAAGTCACGCATGGCAGCTTTATCAGCGCTAATGTTGTGTCACATCGGTCACCCGACTGCTCCTCACGCACGTCTGCTCCGATCTGATAAAAGTGGAAATTAAAAAAATATTTCCCTTTGTATTAACCAATAATGCTTGTTGTATTAAAAATATATATTTATGAGTAAATCAAATCAAAATATATTTTATTCAAATAGACTTTTACAGGCACTTTTGTATCGTCAATTTTACATTTTAAATTTAAATTATATTAAATGTCAGTGTCACTGGCCCGGAAGGCAGTTCTGCTGAGAAGAGCCGGCGAGAAACTCAATAAGTTACTGTTAATATATTACTTAAAAAAATCACCAGTGACTCTGCTTTTGGTAATAAAATAATAATAATAATAATATTCTTTATTTGTAGTAAAAAGTCGTGTTGCAAAAATATACTCTACATAACTGTTAAAAGCATTAGATATTACATATACATAAGTGTATAGTACTTTTTTTTCAATAAAAATACTTTCAGTATGGATACACTAGTTCCAGATACTATTTTCTACATAAATATATTATTAAGTTGTATATCTTATCTGATTCATACACATCGACTAACGCTGATCTAGATACTAATATTTTGACAATCTATTCCTATAACAACAGAGGCAACCACAAAAAAAAATTCTTTTTAGCCCTTTAAAAGATAAAAAGGGATGATATAATTAGTACTAATAATAATTGATTCAGTGTGAAAAAAAAACTTCCGAGCAAAGTCAGGACAGACCCCTGATCATTTTTATGAAAATAAACAAACGGACGAGCTATTCTCGTATTGAGGGGAGGGCTGTGCCCATCAGAGAGTGCTAAGCTATTGCACAATATAATCTTCATATATGTAAATAAAAATGAATGTTCGTATGTTTGTCTTCTGTACGTTCCTAAGCCATTAATCCGATTGTTATGAAACTCTGGTGGGCTAACAGAATTCATCTGCGGAGGTCCCTAACGCATAAAAAAGCTTTCTGTTGACCTTTGTCTTTTATGCGTTGCTAGCATTACCATTCAAGCGTAGACACGTATATAACATAAACTACTACACTAGTATATAATATAAACTAAGAAACACAGTACGGTATAGTACATTTGAATAATTTTTCGAATCTAATAAAGCTTATTTGAATATTCCCAAATTATTATAATATCGACTAAAATTCAAATTATTCATTAAAATTGTAGCTTTGTAGGCTCCATTTTAAACAATTAATATACTCCGTTTTGGAAAGTACTCTTTGGATTATATTAATCTATTCAGAAAGGATCGCTAAGAAAGTTACATAGTTCCAAGATTGAATTTCTTAAAGTAATTACAGGGATTGTATTCTGTACGACAATAACGTCTTTGTGATAAGCCACAGGCGTAACACGCACAAATTAAATTTAATTACTTTTATACAACACTAGCGACTCATCCTCACTTCGCTCGGGTTCGCCTCTCAAAAACCAAAAATAAATCTATCCCACGGGAACCGTACATTTTGAGACATTAGTAGCCTAAATGTTATTCTGATGTATGAGCTATATTATTGTAAAGTTTAATTAAAATACATTCATTAGTTTTTGGGTGAAACAGTAACAAACATTCATACATCTATACATCCAGACATCCTGACAAACTTTCGCATTTATAATATTAGTAGGATATTATTACTATCTAATACAGTCGCTTTGTCGCACAGTCTACGATTTTTTCATGCCATGTTATTTCATTTTACTAAATTTTGAATCAAAAAAGTAGTAACAACAAAAAATAAAAATTCTGAGTGAAAACTACAGTTATAATGATGAATCTTTCTTATAATATTTTTATTACATTCATATATTTCCTACTTGCTTTACTTACCATTTAATGTATAAAAATAAAAAGTAGCCTATAATTATACCAAATATCACGCCAATCTCACTCTCTCACTCTAATTAATAAAATAATAAATAAATAAAAAATAGACAAAACTAATAAGCAAACTAACTCTTTCGTATTTAAGGTAGTACTTGTAGCATACATTTCATTAGGGCGGTGTATCTGTTTGGGCGGTTTTGGGCGGCGCCCAACCTGCAAAGTAATAATAGAGGAAACTGTGACAGAGTATGCTAATTAAATGAATAAGCATCCATGATAAATACGAGATGGAATAGACGTTGATTGAACATTCCGACAAACTTGGAGCGATCGATCACCCCACGCTCGTGCGAGTATGTGAGACGTAACGAGATGTTAACAATACTCTGAAGAACTTCACTCAACTTAGCTATTTCATGGCAATTGTATAATAACATCGTTTTTATTTGTAGAAATGGAATATCGTTAGAATTTAATAAAAAATTAGATATAGTGCCGAGATAAAATACATTTTTACAGTTTAAATATGTTTTTTATACTACGAGTAACAGATATATTTGTATGTGATTTTTGAATGATTGATATTTAAAAGTCAAAAATTTTGCAATAAAAACTCTTTCGGTAAATTGGTCATTTGGATAATTATCATCGAGAATAGTATTTATTGGTTTGTTTGGATAACTTAAGAATTATTAGAATTATTATTATAATAATATAAAAAACTATATAATATTTTTAATATGGACAATTTATTTTACAGTTCATTTTATAGAAAGTTTTATTCGTTTTTTGAGGTTTTTTCTTTATTTATGTAGATTTAAATGAAAGTTTCCTCGAATCGTCCTAAAGTTATGCTTTGACTTCCTGAGCTACGTGACTTTACTAAAACTAGGTTAAGTTTAGCAGAATTTACTAAATTGGAGTTAAATTCTAAAAAAGACTACAAGTAGAAATAGTGGCTTTTATAATAATTCATCACGTATGAAAGCAAAAGCTTTCCTTATACGAGTACATAGGTATATTTTATATTAGTTTTAACGTTTAAGAGATGAGATATTTTCTCTCACTAAAAAGTATTCTATATGTTGACTCGGATAACCAGCTATCATTATATCAAATTTCATCAAAATCTGTTCATTGGTTTTCTCGTGATGAGTTCCCAGACAGACAGACAGACAACAAATCTAAAAACTATAGATTCGGCCTCTACATCGATAATAATGACTATTTCAATAAAATTTTCTAAAAAAAGTTTTTTATGTACAAATTCGGCTTAGTTAACTATAGATTCGGCCTCTGTATCAATAATAATGATTTTTTCAATAAGATTTTCCAAAAAATAGAAATCAGTTAGAATTTTATTATATTTATAGATGGAATATATTGGAGTAGATAATACTATAACAAAAAAACTGACCCATTTCCTTTGTATTCGTAGTTCTAACCTTTAAATATTAAACACAATTTACTTCGCCAGCAGCACGTAGTATTGAGGGCATATGGTGGATATTGGTTAGATGTTTCCGCCAGAAATTAATAACTTACTTTTCTTTTTAGGCTACCAAAGATAAGACATGTGATAACAACAATGGAGCTATTATCTATCTCTAGTTGATAAAACAATCGAAATATATTAATGTTTTACTGTAAGATAACAAATAAATAAATGAATATGTTGGTACATTAACACAGCATTATCTAGTTCCACGGTAAGCTACGAGGCTTGTGTTATGGATACCAGATAGTTGATACACTACACATATATAATTACATTACACTACACACATATTATAAATATAAATACCCATGGCTGGACTACAAACATTCGTGCTCATCACACATATGAATGCCCCCAGCGGGACTCGAATGCGACCGCTGACACATCAAGTAGGGTCACTAGAAACTGAGTCAAACGTATCGTCAAATAATATACATTAATTATTATAAGTTAAAAAAATCAGGCAAGTGGCTTTTTACCTACGGAACCCTACTTTTATATATCGCACGTAAACTAAAATGTGTGATAAAAGTAGTGATAGATTTTTCTAAATGGAGCGTTAGTTTCTCAAGTGATTCCGGCGGAAGTGCGATATATCGATATACTCGTCATGTCACTCACGTTTGATTTATCCCACCTAACAAATGGCGAAAGTTATGACGACAGTAGTATCGGATAATAGATATAACCGAGGGAGATGACTATGTTAAGCGATTTAGAGAGGGATTGCTTTACGTATTCTTTTACGCAGGTTTGAACATAATTATTTTTGACATTTTAAATAAAATATCATTTCGGATCTTTACGCGAATTCCACCAAAAATCAAAATAAATCCGCGAAAAAATTCGAAAAGTTTCATATAAAATGTGAAATATTCTCGTAAATCTAAGCAAGTATACGAGTACAAGCACTCATTAAGTTTTAACATCATTAGGTAACAATAATTAGTTTGTTTGTTTGTTTATTTGTCATTCTTTCACGGCGATATAGAATAATGGATTGGCGTGATTTTTTGTGTGGAGATAGTTAGAGGGCTGGCTAGCCTATGACACTCATAGGCTACTTTTACTGCGGGAGATTATCTCATTCCCATGGGAGAGCACGTTATAACATAGCCCAAAAAATATTTATGATCAGAAATACTTAAAACTTGGTATTAATTGTGTTCAACACAATTAAATAAATACTTGTTTTAACATTTTTCAAAATTCATCCCATAAGGGGGTAAAATGGGAGAAGAGAGGAATGTTTGTATAAAACCTAACTCTTAGTATAGTATAATATATATATATATAATATATAGCAGTGATGTAATTAATCATTATGTTATCAGAAAACATAATTGTCTTCATTTAGCCGCACGCCACAACACACTTTTAATATTCGCATGAGCACAAAGGCTTTAAACATACATTAGGCACTTATGAAAACCCTAACTTGTACAAAAACAAGTGTTTCACCCGTCACTTTTGTAAGTAGCTCAAACAATCTACATGAAAATAAAAGCCGTACGATGAGTGGAACCGTAATTCGGTATATTTCATCCTTGTAATCCGTTTTATGATTACACACTCGTTTCTTTTTGTGCCTCTTGCCTTTTGAATTCTCTACGCTATTGTAGAATTATGGGTCGTGTGAGGCTCTGATTTATGTGAGGGACCAGCTTTTTGTTTGTTTTAACGGAACGTTACATTTTACCTGATAAAGCATGTGCTATGCTTCCGTGGAAAAATTCTGTATGAATACTACATGGTGTTGCTATCTCACCGGCAATATGCTGCGATTTGTTCACTAAATCGCACTCTTTATGTAATGTCATCGGTGTTGCTACTCTACAATTTATTATTTACAAAGTTAGCATGCAATCTTGCTTATGTCTTAGCTTAACAATTGTATGAATAATACAAAAAGATGTATTGAGTGAGGACCAAACTAGTTATTGCTTGTACTAACCCGATATTATATCCCACTCTCATTGGAAGGCCCATGCCCAGCAGTGAGATAATAATAAAGGCTGAATTTTATATATATATATATATATATATATATATATATATATAACATATTGCAGACGGATGTACACTTCGCAAATCTTCTACTACTTAGTTATATCAAAATGTAACTATAGCCGAAAAAATAATATTCGACAGTTAGGCTATTAATTTGGCCGCTGAAAAAATAGCCGCTTACACAACATTACTGTTAAAAGATTACAGATCGAAGTCATTAAAAATGAACATTTTTCTCCGATTTTGGTATATTTTAAGAATACTTTAAGAAACGAAGCAAAATAGCTTCTTCTAATGAGGATTATCGTTATTTTTTCTTGCTTTGCGGCCGAAATTTGAACACCAATTTTAAATAATGCGTAAGTTACTCAGCCTTCTTTGATTTTTAAATTTAAAAAATCTTAGTGCTTTTTGGTAAATAATATGTAATAGTATTATATTCTTATAAGGGCAAATTTTATTTTTTTATTAATTAAATATTTAAATTTTAGTAGCAAGATAAAGTAATATTAATGTACAAAAACAAATATGTCTGTACATTCAGTGTTCACTACTAAAAACTAATTTTGATTAAGTTAGATATTATCAAGCCAAAGCCAAGAGCCAAAGGCATTACTCACGTGGATAGTAAAAATAGTAAATTTGGCCAAGTTTTTCATCCTGACGTGTGGTCTGAAGCGGAGCTATCGATATTCACCCGAAATATACCTGTCTTGTACAAATATTCTGCATCTCAAACGTATGCATTTTTAACAGCTGTAATATAATACTTTCTTAGATTTACGCGAATGTTTGACATTATTAAATAAAACTATCTTTTCGGATTATTTCGCGGATTTATTTGTATTTTTGTTTCCCGACGTTTCGAATGCTTTACAGCATCCATGGTCACGGGAGAGACTGAGGTGTTACATGTCTTAAAGATATAGTTGTTACAGACAGCCTACCCACAATTAACAATATACTCACAATATGTAATATACTCACAATCTAAAATATTTTCCTTTTTTCATTTTATTTTTATATGGAATTTTGCTTTTTCTATCTAATCAAATATTAAAATACTATTCAAAATTAACTTACTTTGAAGATTTTAACTACTTAACAATATTTCGTCACATCTATAAATATATACTGACAGTTGAATTTATTTAATTTAATCTACATATTATTTAATCATACATAATATTTGAATAGCATATAATATATTATGTAATATGTATTATATGCTATTCAATTAAATTGCTACGAATAGCACACAATTCACAAAATTTGAAGCATTATGAGTTTTGGGCCGGAATATATTTCTGGTATAGTTTTCTATTTACGAGTATAAAATATTGGTACAATAACATAAACATATATATATTATATATATATATATATATATATATATATTAAATCGATTTGGGCTTCCAATTAACTATCTATGAATATTATAGAATAGTCTTGCATGGATATTAGATATATTATATTACGCGATATTAAAACTTTATCATTATAACAGACTTTAATTATAATTGATTATGTACCAGTCGACGTGCTCTCATATAAAAGCATAACTATACATATAACTCGATAAAACTGGCGCTAATAGCTAACTTAAAAAAACTAAACAATTTTAAAACTCTAATTTGTGACTTACTAATTAAAAAGAATTATATTATTTTGAATAAACAAATAATTTTACAATAGGTACTATTACATACATTTTATTTCTAAAATAGCCTTTTTTAAAGATATGCCAGAGGTAGGTTCTGCTTACTTTGAAAGCGACTAAAATTATTTTGTGTCACAAAACCCTCAAAAACACACATACATAAAAATTACTATTTCTTTCATTCATATCGGTATTTAAACTCTAAATATTGTTTATTTATAGCTTATAATTATTACTTTTGTTACAGTTTCGATGTCCGAGGCAAGCACCTATCGGAGGCTCGTCACTGGTCTGCACCGGAGGTGTTCGGACCTCGAGCCCATTTCTCAACGTCGCCTCCGCCCGCTTCCCTCCTCGTGAGAGATGTGAAAAGGCGAGACGAAGGCGTGTACAGATGTCGTGTGGACTTCAGAAACACGCAAACCACTAGCTTTAGATATAACCTAACTGTTGTTGGTGAGTTAAACTTCGTTTAATGTAATTTAGTTGTTAAACATGTTAATTAACTGTTAAATTACGGGCGGATTTGTTAATCACAAAACTATTCATTGGTTTATATTATATAATTATAATACATCGATAATGTTAAAATTAATAATGGTATTTGTTAAACTCAAATTATAATTTATTTCAAATATACTTTTTATGCACATAATATAATAAATAAATAAATATGTTAGGACAATAGCACACAGCACCATCTAGTTCCATGGTAAGCTAAGAGGCTTGTGTTATGGATACCAGATAGTTGATATCCATAACACATATATAACTTTAAATACATATATATTATAAATATAAACACCCATGACTGAAGTACAAATATTTATGCTCATCACACAAATGAATGCCCCCGGCGGGACTCGAACCCATGACCGCTGGTACGGAAAGTAAAATCCCAGTTCGTCCCTATTTATTTTTATAACCTGAAATTATTTGGATATTGTTCATACAAAAATTCTAAAGTCGCGATTAAAAATGGGGGGTACGAGGGTGAAAAATGCTTTACGACCTATTCTCACACCTACCAAATATACAAAAAAAAAATCATTAAAATCGGTCGCTTCGGAGGAGTGCGACCACAAACACTGTGACATGAGATATTTATATATTAGATTAAAAAATACAAATTATACGTTTTAAATTTCAATATCCCCTTAATTAATCTAGTTAATACGCTTACGTTCATTTACAAATGTTGTTCATTTAGTCATAGCGCTATTAGTTTAGTTTTAATTCCACATTTAATTACATTTCGATATTCCTATAAACATTTTCTAAACGACCACTAGGTATAGTGTGGTATTTTCTTTACTAGTAATCGGAGGTCAAGGATTCGATATCTGCGTGGTGTAAATACCTCTAGTATGGTCGAATACCGCTAAGGCTATGTGAGTGTACATTATTCCTTTTAATTCCCTTTTTAAAACCTGAAGCGTAAGCTGTAGATGTAAATATATAGTACCTAATACTAGCAGAACCCGCGGCTTCGCTCGCGCTAAAACTACAACAAAATCTCTAAAAAGATAGTTTTATACAAACATTCATCGCCTATTTTACCCCCTTATGGGAATTTGGGAAAATTCTAAAATACGTAATTATTTTATTAAAGAGAATTAATGCCATGTTTCAAGTAATTCTGATCATTTTTTTTTGATCGTATCATTACGTGATTTCCCGTGGGAATTAGATAATCTCCCGCAGTAAAAAGTAGCCTATGTCACTCTACAGCCCTCCAACTATCTCCACACAAAAATCACACCAATCCGTCACTCCGTTTCGACGTGAAAGAAGGATATACAAACAAACAAACAAACACACTTTCACATTTATAATATTAGTATGGTTATAATATACAATATACATATATCAAGGTAGTATATTCAAAATTTTCTTATTTTTCATTTCCAAAGCATTTTTATCCCATTTCAAAGAGATTATGAGTTATAGTGTAGGTACCCACAAAACGAAGGTTTCTAATATAGTTCCATCAATGTACAGTAGATGGCGCGCGAGTAATACAAAAAAAGGTCCTCTTGAATTGTGACTAGCCATTGTCGAATGGTATGCGCCAATGAAACTAGCTAAAAAAAAATTTAAGAACCAATATTTTTGGTCAGTTTAAAGCAGTTTTTAAATTTACAATTTAATGTTAATATAGCATTGTTTCATTAGTATCTATGTTATAAAATTTATTACCATACTTTTAACATTAATATTAACAATACATTAAACTAAAAAAAAAAAAAAACCTTAAGTATATATACATAATATAATAACTAAAAATATTATTAATATTATTATTGTAAGTCAATTAGGAAGCTTCCCACCGGCTCTAATAAGAACAGCCTGCGAGAAAATATTATTTTTGTTTACGATATTATAATAGAATACTTATAGATTTATAATTATTCCTCTGATTTCTATAATTATACTGCCCTTAATATTATTCTGTTGAATGATGTCAGCCACTGAGAATTTCTTCACAGAAAAACTTAATATCTATTTTTGACCTGACCTGAGATTCAAATCCAGGACTTCTAAATCTGCGTCCCTACTAAATCTACGCCTACTTAACTTATGTATTATCAAGTAGGATAAAATTTCTTGACGGAATAATAATTAATCATCCTTCAGAAACATATCTTTGAAAAAATATTCAACGCATAGCTGTGACCTCATTAATATATTATTATAATAATATGTTCAGGTGATTTTTACGTATAATGCTATTTCCAAGCTGACATTTATCTGCACTTATCACTTTTAGGTGCGAGGAGCAGCTATTAGCATTTGTATGGCATTTCATAAGGTCACAGTATACTCTTTTAAATTAACGTTAGATACTTCGCAGCTCTATCGCTGTGTTTATTTTTATATTATTGTTTATGAATATTCAGAAAATTTTATATTTTATACTAACTTTCGCCCGCGGGTTTATTCGCTTGGTACGGTTATAATTCAGCTCATTTAAAGGCCCATTGCTGGGTACGGACCTCCACTCAACCTGAGGAGACCGTAGCCCATGATGCGGACCAAGACGCTTAGGTTTACGGTCTTCACGTCATGTTTTTCGAAATCTTTCAAAGTTCTCTGAGACTTGCAGGTTTCTTACGATGATTTAATGTGATAACCATGTCGAAAATGATTCGCACTTGAGAGCATAGGTGCTAGTTCCAGTATGAACCCACTTCACCTGGATAGCTACACAAGCACTTGACCAGTGGGCTTCAATTTGATATATTCTAGTGAAAGAAATTTAAGAATCAATGAGGAATACAAACCTAGGCAGTAACTAGTTCAACCTACTCGTATAACTGGTAATAACGATTTTATGATTCAAATACAAAATACTTTATTCAATTAAACTTATTCAAAACTTGTAAAAATTCATAAAATAAACGACTATATTTTCAGTTTTATTTTATATAAAGCTTTTTAGCTGCTACGCTTTTAAGCGAGTTGCGAAATAGTTCAAACTAGTTCGGTTGGCAGAAGGCTATAGGTTTGAATCTGAGGCTAAATATTGCAGTTAGCGGTTTTGCAAGTCCAACACTTGACCATACCAATTAACACTGTTTTGAATGAAAGCGTACACGAGATAGAGTTCAAGCTGAACTTTCAAAACATCTTTCCCTCTTACTAGAATGACCGTAGTAAAACTTATTTGTTATATTCTAATGAGATAAAGTTTGTAATTTTAGATGTTGAAGGTAATTTTAAAGTACTACGATAAATTAAAAAAAAAATCTCCAATATTTAGAATGTAAATCTTGATTTGACTTTAAGGGTGCCTACCCTATATTGAAGCGTGAATCAACGGTAAAAACGAAAAAAATCGCGATTTCTTAAAGTAGTCCCTTTCAAATACTTAAGTTACAACTTTTTCACGCTGCTCTTCACGCTGTATCTGCTGAATTAATACATTTGCTACTTTTTAAAGACATACCCACCATACAAACATAACCGTTGGCATGAAGCAGTAAAAACTATAATTCATTATGAAGATTTACCACTTATGCTAATACCAAGTACATGTGAAGCCATTAATTAACGTTAATCAAACACTTCAGTAGGGATTTATCTTAATCTTAGACAGATCATCGTACGTTTAAACTATCTATAATATTTTCCACCAAGCATTTTTTTATACTATTTAAGTAATTGAAGCAGCATAATAATATTCCATAAGGCAGTGGTAGCCCATTGGTAACGCGTTCGCTTGGTAAACCGAGTGGAGCAGGTTCAAATCCCGGGACTCGCACCTCTGATGTTTTCATGTGCGAATCATTTCTAACATAATTACCGCTTGTATTACTGTAAAGAAAAACAAGTGAGGAAACCTGCATGTCTGACAGAAACCTAGCAAGTTTTTGAAAGACATATAAAGTCCGCTAACCTGCACTTGGCCAGCGTGGAGGACTATGGCCTGATCTCCACTCGTATTGAAGGGAGGCCCGCCCCCAGCATTGGGACGTTAAAAAGAGCTGAATATAATAATATCCAATACATAATTAAGTTTATAGTATATTTGTTTTAGTAATTGTACTTGTGGTTTTAGTAATAAAGGTAGCATTAAAACAATCTATGTAGATCATAAGCTATCTCTAATTTAAATACACAAATGCTTTGAACTGTTTCAGCGTCAAAAAATAAAGAAATCATTTCTTTATAAATTTTTATATTTATAATATGTATTATTTTTCTCTTTTCTATTTAATTTTTTAATTATAATTTTATGGTACAGTACACTTATTTTCGATACATCATTTTAAATTATGACATATATATTGTTTAAATAAATATTTTATTTTGATTTATGTGTATAAATATAATAATGGCAACATTAAATATAGATTCCTAATTAATAAAGTTTCCTAAAAAAATATAATATTTATAATAACAACAGCTAAATTAACATACATTAAATAAATAATAATCCATATTCAATTATAAAAACAATTAAAATTAACAAATATTGTAAGGTACTTAAAACTAAACCCAGAGCCATTTTTATAATTTTTGAATTTATTTTGTTATTTTGTGGGTAAGCTGTCTGTAATAACAATATATATAAAGCTTTTGAGACATCTTAAACCTTAGTCTTTCCCGTGACCATGATTGCTGTAAAGCATTCAAAACGTCGGGAACCAAAAGTCAAAATAAATCCGCGACAAAATCCGAAAAGGTTTTATTAAACTTTTTGAAGAAGTTTAATTTAAAATGTCAATTATTCGCGTGAATCTAAGAAAGTACATATTATAAGATAATATTTTTTATTATTATTAAAATTATATATATATATATATATATATATATATATATATATATATATATATATATATATATATATATATATATATATTTAAACTTTCATAAAGTTGGAGAGAGAAAACTTATATACTAAAATATAAAGTTGGTCGCGTGGTAGTAGAACTTAAGAAAAAGAACCTATGACCTGGCTAATGCATCACAATGATCATCAACATAATATTAAAACTTATCATGATATATATTTTTTACAAAGGAAATCCAGAATACCTGTAGCAAAAACTAATCACTTAAGTAAAGTGGTGGAACGCATTAGAATATTGCCGTACTTTGCGCATCGCGCGGGCAAAATTATACACAATACACCGTAATGTTCCCAAAGCTACAAAGAAATGGCCTTTATTCTTGTGATTACTTAATGCAACTTCACTCCTGACCGTGACTTTTTTCACAATGAAAAATATGAGTTTTTAAGCAAAAATCTTCGTTAAAATGAAAAATGACGCACTTAGGACTGAATAAGGCGAGTTTGCTAGAAGAAATTACAGTATTTATGTTTCGCGTTAAATTTTTAAATATAACAGCGAGAATAATATTTTTAGAGTAAAAATTATAACAATTAAATAAATAGGAGGTCTTTTGTTGTTGTTTCTTGCTTGATACAGTTGATATTCCACGATAGTATATTTGTTTTGTAAGGATAGTGAGAGATAGTTAAAGATCGTATCAGCATTTATTGTACTTTGGATTTGAGGACATTGGTCAATACGCATAATTATGTATACTGCACAGTAGACTGACTTGAATCCTGCATCTTTTCTTAATTTGGCCGTATCTGACACCATAATAAATGCCAAACAGACAACATGACACCATCCGTTTACCGAAATTGAAAACAACACTTTGCATCAATCCCAAATAAATTAAAAGAGCAATTTATTAGTCCACATGAATATGATGATCAACACTGAATAAATTAACGATCAATCTCAAAATTCATCATTGAAATTGGTTTTAATTCCGCTTCATTTTTAGCATTTTTATTGCGCCCATAAATTTGTAGGATGTCATTACATTTGTTGTATTATTGAGTATCTGGTCGAGCTCCCTAGGGACGCGTGTAATTACGCCCTGGACGTCGCCTACATTAATTGGATAGGCCTTTGAAACAAAACCAGTTTCACGTCCTATATTGAAACACGATCACTTCGCCGCCTTTCATTGCCAATTCAAATTTAAATTCGTCACCCGTCTTGTCTTCATTATTTTTGTTATCTTAAATTTTTTATAAGATTTTATTTAAATTGCAATGTTTGTATGTTTGTTCGGTTCAAATCTTGCAACTGAATTTTAAAGCAGCTATCCTCAACTGATTGAGTTAAAATTTTGCATACACGTTTAGTTTAGATGATAATGCATGGTTAGGTAAGTGACGTCATTCTAAATCCAGTATGGTGGACTCCCAAAGATGGGATGGTGGACTGGGTTTTTATGCACCCCCATGACGTGGATATCAAATGAAAGAGTTTGCTTAGAAGAATACGAAAACAAGCTTCTGCTCTAAAAAGAAGGAAATAAACTTTGAATTAAATCAAACCCATCAATTTATAATGACACAATTTATATGAATAAACGCGTTTTGAAAATATTTTTTTCTTTTTAATTTACTGGGCTCATACTTAGTTAACTAACGTCGAATGCAAACCGCGTCAAAAGTTGATTGATTGGAGTGAGTTGGAAACTTAAAATTACTTTCAAAGGGTGTGAGGACGCCGGTAGCGGCTCAGGAACTGATTACCAGTTTGTTGTCTTTCTATTAAGAATGTTCTAACCAAAGCTCTTCTTAAATTGAATGCAAATCTCTTTTGAATTATAAGGTGGTTTTCCAATTTGGATTAATTTTAGAATTTTAATGCATTTTATACTCATAATTATTTTAGACTATCAATACTTCCCCAAGCACATGAATATGTTCATGGATTTTTACAGGCACAGAATTCGCTTTAAAACAGCAAAACGCTTTAGTCATAAACTTTTTATAGTTATAAATATTTTATTATATCACTAAAATATTTAAAAGACATATAATATTTTTTGAAATGGTTTAATTTAATTCGTAAGTCAAGATTTCCACACAGTAACTTTTAGGTTTCATTTTAGATTTCATGAAAATAAGATCGCTCCGTTAGCTCTCGTAAATTAGGATATATTTTGTAATCGCGTTACAAATGCGTACTCACTGTAGCATACATAGTCTGGGTCTTTGTGAAGTCCAAAAATAAGTTTTTCGGATACTGAAAATCCATCAAAGCATATAAACTATTACTAAAAGAGTTTTCGAGATCGGATTTGAAAGAGCAAAAGGAGCGTATTGTTCGTATGTTGTTTGACTTAACGCATTTATTTATCTTTGAGCTAACGGATGAATTCGCACTATTTTTACTCGCAGTCAATGGCTCGAGTCGGAATTAGAGAGTAAAGTTAGATTGGACGAGCCCGCTGTGTCGAATGTAAAACCCAATTGGGCTTTCATGCTTTAAACGGGGCCCACCGAAATAACCCTACACGGTGCGGCGCAAAGCCCACACCGAGATGGACACGGGCCATGCGAATGTGAACCTACCACCTCTCAGTTAAAGGCAACCACTTCGCGGGGGGTATTTTGGCAGCAGTGTGGGAACAGATTAATGGTAATCGAACGGAGCTGTTAGCAATCACCTGCACAGTATCGGGCTGATTAATTGCATTCAGGGATCTTCCCATATTATTGTTTATCGTATCCGTTTTAATGTAACACAATCAGGCCGGGATTAGTGCGATTGATTCCGGAGTTAGTTATGTTTGGAATAACAGTTAATTTGCGCGCGGCTCTATGCGGCGTATCATTTGCATACCGTCGCGTTTGTTTGCGCTCTTTGTTCTCTTAATTATTTATGAAATATTCATACATACATATATGTATATCTCATGCAATATTTCTAGCAGAGAAGCTACTGGTAGAGTGAATACTTATATAACAGTATAATTTATTTTCGAGTCGAATAGCAAAGATAACGTATAGAGTGGCTTTTTGTGATATTTTGTCCTTTTGAACGACGTGACATAATGCTCGTATTATCTAATTTATTTATTTATTTATTATTAAGCACATTTACAATACAAATGTTAAACAATTCAATACAATAATTAAAGTGAAAAAAAAACAGACATGCATATCAATAACAAGTGTACATAGCATTTATAATATTATGAAATTATTTAGTAATTGATAAAAAATACAAAATTAACAAAAATTAGAAACAACATAATTTAAAATATAAAATAAAGTAAAGATAAAAATAATAATAATTTTATTTTAGATAATAAGTAATCAATAGTTTTATAAAAATTATTATTATACTCGTATAATGCCAAATAGAGACAATTAAAATTGTCCAATACTTATGTCGATAAACGTACTACTTGTATTGCTTTATTTCATTAACCCTTTATTTTTCTTTCAGTATTTTATAATTGCACACATATTTTTACAATTATAAATATGTAAATCTATACGGTACGGTATCTATACGTAATATAGTGATAACCGGGTTAAAGTTATTCGTTGAATATTTTTTTAAATGTTGCGTTCGGTTAATAGTCTACAGGGGGTTTTTAATGATTAATAACATGTTTTTTTTTCTTGTTTTATGTTGAAGTATCCTAAAATTAAATTGTAAAACAACCTGTTAGTAATAAATTTTTAACAACCATCGTTTCGACATGTTCCATATCAATCCACAATTGTATCTACCACTATTTCTAATTTCAATTGATATATATTTAATTTTATAGTTTAATATCAATTTTATCTATTAACTTATTAATATTTTTAAAAATATTATTATTTTTTTCCTTGTAAATAAATAAATGTTGCTCACGTGATATAAAAGAAAAAAAAACCTATAATTAAAAGAAAATTTATGAAATTGTTAGCACATGAGTACCATACCGTTTTTAATATATCTTTTGTTGGTTATCCTTTAAGAAATAAATAAATAAATCAAATTGTCGTAGAAAGAAAAGTTGGGCGTCTCCTCGAAACTAAGCTACTCGTGTGGCTACAAATGTTATGTTTTCTACAGTATAAGCAAATTAAAATATTGTTTCTGTGTTTGTTTATAAGCATCGCATAACGTGAGAACATCTAAGCGGGTTTTTATCATTGCAAAAGTTACAGTCATAGTCTAGATTGGCAATATTGCGAATATCAACTATCACTCAACCTCCGTAAATAAATAACATAAACATAAATATATTATTCGCCTAACTTGATGTTTTCTCAACAAAAACAATTCCTAACTTTTATAACACGTAGTAGGTCGATGAAATCTCGAAACGAAAAGAAAGAATCTGAAGAAAAAGTAGTGAAGACTCCGGCAAGTTTAAGCCACATTCGCGTTCCCGCTTCCACTTTAGTTTGCTCCTAAGTTGTGGCAAGAAACAAACAAAACTAAATATGTATGTTGAACGAGATTCGCACCTCGTCATCTTGTGATTTATTTTTCTGAATAAAGTTTGGGCTCTTTTATCTTTGCTCGTTCGGAAAAATTGTCTGCAAATTGATAATTTTCGAATCTTTCAATTCTATTGAAGGATCTTACAAAATACGATAGTACAAGAATTGAGTATGTGTTAATAATTGTAAAAAGTGTAGTGAATCAAATATATTTGCTTTTTTTCCAAATCTAAATATTGGGTATAAGTGGAAGAAAATTATATTTCATTTGGTCTCTACTGACTTCCTCCACAGGAAAAACTAAACCTACCACTTCTCCCTTAGTCAAAATATCAACTAATACCATTAAGCTACTATTATAATTATATTAAGTTTTATTATAGTTTTTATAGATTTTTTATTTAATTCCAAATATTTGTTTCAGTTCCACCAGAAAAGCCAGTGGTAGTAGACAGGTGGGGCCGCGTGATCAACGCCACGACGCTAGGCCCTCATGAAGAGGGTGACGACGTTCTCCTCACATGTCGAGTACTAGGAGGTAATTTTGTGTCAAAAATATTTTTATTATCAGCAAATTACCTATAAACGGAGCTGTGGTTTGCATGTTCATCTATTGCTTATTGAATTTAGCCCTTTTTAAAGTCCCGCTACTGGTCACGGGCCTCCATTCAATACGAGGGGGATCAGGCCATATTTACTTATAAAGATAATAATAATTATAATAAAAATCAGATTCATAACTAATCATAATCCTTTTAATTCCCTACTGCGGGTACGACAGTACATACAATAGATACACACCACAGTAACTTCAATACACGGCCGAGTGCGGATAATTTGCTAATCAATTTTTAGGTTCTTTTGGACAAGAATGTTTTTTAAGTTGTTCATTTTTCCCGTATTAACAAGTATCGAAATGAAATTGGTACATGAAAATCTCAGAGGCGTAAAACACTGGTTCACATTGTAAATTAGAACTACATATAGGTACTCTTTTGCTTCGTTATAAGTAGAAATTGTAATTGTTAAAGATATAATATTGAATTTTTGATTTTGGACTAAACTTATTGTTATGTCATCAAGTAGTTTAGCTCGTGTGTACTCAAAAAACTTTTAATGTAAATAAAATCTAGATTAAGCATAACCCTTGTAACACTAATACGATCGCTCGTTCATTATACAACTTTGCATTCACATTCGTTTAAGTTTTAAAAGAATAAATTTTATATTCCTCTCGGAAGATAAATATGGTTCTTTTATAATACCTTTGAAATCTGAAGTATAAAAATGGAGTCGCAATCAGATATGACAAACAGTATAATAACTATATATAATAGAACAGATAATCGCAGTGCAAATGGAACCACGTGGCGCAGCAAAGCGGGACCGAGGCAACATGTTTAGTGTAGTATAATCAAGTGATGAATTAACATTTCTGTTTCGTTAGAGAGGGTTGAATTATTCATGAGATTGGCTTCAGTACAAACGGCCCGTGATAGTTGCCGCCGGCCTGTGGACGATCGATGTGATATGATAAGCCGGCAAATAAAATTTTATGTCCAGAATCAACAATGAAATTTAGAAGATAACTTCTAAATTTCATTGTTGATTCTGTAATAATACAGAAACATTATTATTGAAATAACATTTCTGATGTAACTTTCTAAATTTTCGCGTTCCATTATCAAATGTATTATAATGACACTACGGGACTTAAGCGCGTGAATTAGTTAGTGGCCAAGTACCTTATTCCCAACGTTCCGAATTCACACAGAGTTTGCTATTTACCATGTTTTTTTGCATATTTTTGCTTCTACATAATATAATATGAATAGTAAGAATAATATACACAGTATGTATGTTACAGTCTGAATAATTAAAAAAAATGTTTCGAATCATTCATTTTCAAGACGAGTTAGATATAACTTTATTGTTGACGTTTATTTTAGTGTCATAACTGGATCAGCTCATCAGGGTAACATAAAATTGCAAATAGGAACAATTTGTGATAATATTAGTAAATTTATTAGCCCTTTAATAGAAGATAGTCAACTATTTTTCAAATAGACTTTATAATAAATAACAATTATTAATCTGTCTCTCCCTCGCTCTCCTTCTCCCTCTCTATTGATTATTAGTTTGATGTATTGTGTAACAATGTCACAGTGTCAGTATGTAATATTATAAAACATGAGAGAATGCTAAATTAAATACAAATGAAATAATTTGGAACATCAAAGTAAGTTTTTGCACGTAAAATGTATAAAAGACAAAAGACTTATCCATATCATAATTTAGAAGTATCAAAAGGAATATATGCCGTAATAGAATGTTAACGTTTAGTAAATGTAATATGATAAATTTTTTTAGAATCACGACTCAAATTTGAAACTCGTGAATTTTTCTTTAGAAAGCCCTCAGGGCACTCGCCAGAGACACTGGAACGCTTTTAACAGATAAAACAACATGGAGTAGCTAGCTATTTACTGTTGAGGATACTTTGTTCTATCCCGATCACAGCCTTCAAGAAAGTGGTTTAAAAAAGAATGTATATGTAAAAATTGATATTATGGTAAAAATCTAAGGAAGAAGGTCATAAAAAATGAATTTTACTCCAAATTTAAAGTTTGCTAAAATCACGCCACCTAAATTAGGAAAATCAAATCAGAACTGACTTTATCTAATCGCAGCGAACGAACGAAATTCGAGAAGATGAAAGCATTTGCATAATCGAGAAATTGATTGAAGCGTATTTTCTAAAACACCCTGAAAAAAGATTCAATGACAGTGGGGCAGATGCCTTTGTAATGATGGGGGCTTACTTTGGCCCGTTTTTAGGACACTCGTTAGGGGGTCGCCTGTTGCTCGACTCATCGAAACCTGTCCGACAGAATATTCATGTTGTAATTTCGTAGACCCTTTCGGGAGATGAACTATTATGATAATGTCTAGAGATGATCACACATTATCTACTTTCATAAATCATGTTGTTGAAAGTCATCTGTAAAATGAAGCTTAGCAACACTACAATATACTAATTGTGGGATAAACACTTTGTAAAAAGACATTTGCCCGGTATTATTATAGCTTTTAGCAACTAAAATTTCACAGTGTGTATTGTTGTGCGCAGTCTATGATCTCCATAAAATAAATAATAAATGTGACATGATTCATTAAGCCTTGAAATTTCTAATTCATTATGAAAACTATATGCACGTATATTAAGAGAATGTTATCTCAAGTACTATAGACATTTATTGTAATAATATTTATTATAGATGAAAATACGCTTACTAAGAAGATCAAGGATATATATGAAATTATATAGGTGACTATGTTTTGTTTCGCAACTTATTTGACGGTACGTGAGACCGACACTATTATTTAGTTTTCCAACAGAACACCTGATTGAATAAAATATCAACAACGATTTCATTATATTAGCCTCGTGTTTGCGCTAACACCGAAATCTAATTTAAATAAGCACTGTTGTTGTTTATCAGGCTGGAAAAGAGTGATTGTTTTGAAAATGACATTTATTTATAAGGAAATAAGAGTAAATTTCCCGTAAAAGTTTCGAGAGTAAAATTAGGCCGGAGTCGGAGAACGTTAGGTGACCTGCTTTATTCGCAATTATGAAAAGGCTATACTAGACCGCTTTTTAAAAAATCGATTTGTTAATGTATTGAAACTTTAAAACTACTAGAATTGATTTATATACCTTTTAGCGACTCGCCTTCGTTTCGCTTGGGTTTGTCCATGGTGAAAAACAAAAACAAATCTATCTCTCGGGAACCGCATATTTTTTCCCGGATAAAAGGACAGGTTACTTTTATCGCTATTAGCATTTATAATACTAGCGACTCACCCTCGCTTCGCTTCGGGTTCATCACTAGATAAAAACAAATCTATCCCACGGGAAATGTACACTTTTCTGGGATAAAACCTACGCTATGTGCTATTTCAGACTATCGTTTATCTCTGTGCCAAATTTTATCCAGTTCTGTCCAGCCATTCTGATATGAAAGAGTAACAAACATCCATCCATCCTCACATACTTTCACATTTATAATATTAGTATGAAGTTATGAATTCAATTTCATGCTTTCAACAGTTTGCTTTGATATTTTTTAGAAACATCTACAAGTATATATATATTATAGTTTCATTATATAATATTATATATTAGTAACTAGAAATTCTTATTTTATTACAACCTAATATTTTATAGCAATCGAATGAAGATTATTAAAAAAAACAGCCAAACATACACTACTTGTAATTGTACTACTTGTTGTAATATAATATTATTATTATGTACCTACATATGTATGTATTTTTGATATGTAAGTTTATTCATAGTATTAAAAATGAATTATTGTTATTATTGTATTATTATTATTATGATTTTTTTATTATTATTATTACTACTATATAGTTCACACCCCTTCCCTCTTACAGTTTGTCAATTCCAACACCTTAAGGTTGCCTGGAAGAGATCGCTGTTTTAGCGATAAGGCCGCCTCTTGTACATAACTCTTTTTATATATTTCTTGTAATTTTTTTTCTTTTTTCTCTTGTGGGTGTACAATAAAGAGTATTTATTATTATTATTATTACTTGTTTATTACATCATATACATATTATGTATGCAAAAATGTAAAAAGATAAAAATTAAACTAAACTATACACTGAATTTCAACTAACCAAATCTTAATTTAGGCAGACCTAAATAGTTTAGAGAACCGCAGACGTAGTCAGGTACGTAGTAATTAAGTATGAATATTCTTGCCTCTACTGAAAATAGACCCTCGTTTAGTAGACTATTTAGGTATTGTTCTTTATATACCTACTACATAATAATATTATAATGGTTAGGTTGGTAGTGGTTTATGTTATACGGCCGGCTCAGGTTGGGGGTTGCGGGTTCAATTCTCGTTCGGGGTGAGTATTATTTTCTTATTGATTTGGTTATATTTAGCGAAAGCAAACTGTAATTATTATAATTTTTTATAAAGCCTTTCCATACCGTACTTTTTAAACTGATTTTCTGCAAATTAGTTTAAAATTTAAAATAAATAAAAATTACTATTTTGAATTTCAAAATGGTTAAAATAAATTATTTAAAATTTTAAAATAATTTCCCACTGAAAACAGTTATTTTACCCCATTATATCACGTCCTGGTCCACCAATTAAATGTTGAAATATAAAAAAACTACCTCCTCCTCTTACCTCCTACCTCATACTTTTACGGAATAACGATTGAAAGAGTAACAAACATCTATACATCCAAACCATGAACGAATCAGCCACTTTGTTCATGATCCAAACATCCATACATCCTCGCGAACATCCGCATTTATAATATAACTCTTAGTAGGACGTACGCCTGCTACTATCACTTGAAAGGAAAACATTTACTTAAGCGAATAATCGTATTTATACCAGTGAAAATTTTCTCAATAAGTCTATACATTTTATTACAATTCTTGGTATTACAAGAATGTATAAGATAATTGTAATTATACTTATAATTGCTTCAACGGTGCCTACAAACGTCTTCGAAACGTAATTAGAATAGATTGGAGACGCCCTACAAACTCATTAAAATTATTAACCCTGGCTCGGACTTAAGAAGCCCTAGAAATTCAATCTTTTTGTTAATTTCGATTCGACTATTCGTTACTGTTAAGTTAAATCGGCGACAAGAATATAATTAAGTCAATTAGAATTAATGTTTTTTTTTGTAATTATTTCTGTACTAACTTAATTTTAGTAAATAGAAAGATATAGTATGATGTTTTTCTGAGAAATGTTTTATTTTTTTATTCTTGGTAATTCAAAACTTTGTCCTAGAGAAGATTTAGAAAAAAATTTTTTTTTTTTTTGATTTAGAAAAAAAGCTGAAAATATAATGTAATTTACATTAAATCAACGATTAGAAGAGGCTTAGCAACATAATATTATGTATAAATGTGGTTTTTCAAGTTAATTTTGAATGCGTAAGAAATTCCTATGTTTTTCTTTTTAAAGTAAAATATATTGTTATTGTTGAAATTAGACATACCTTTCGTTAGTATAAAGATCAGTGGACTCATAAAACTAGTCATGGTTTTATAAGGAACTGCTTAATAAGTAAATTAACTAATGTTATTACTGGTATCTACGCACGAGATAGCTCGTAACGAGGAATTTTGTACATAGGCACTATTAATTGCCTTAATCAACATACGCGGTAACTATCTACATACGAGTATATACAGAGACCATAATATATCACGATAAACGAATTCGGTGTCCGTATCTACTTAACATTCAAATTTGACAAAATGTTAAAACTTTTGAGAATCTTTGAATTTCATAACGAAATAACCTTACATTTTGGGTCATACGCCATCTAAACGTATGTTACGACGACGACGACGAGGATCGAAATGGAGTCAGGATCAACGATTAGTATAATTATATGCACGTAAACAAACCACTTACAAGCTGGAAACCGAACGTAAGCCGGCGGCTCTGCGCGCTTCATGAATAGATGCATACCACAAACTAGACGTTCACAAATCCAAATTGAATCCATTGACACTCAGAATTAGATTGGACATACTTGGTACATAGCTTGTAATTTAATTTGAACAAAGTGTTTCGTTCGATGGCATAGGATAAACCGCTTGAGGCAGAGGGGAGAGATGGATAGATAGATGCTATGTCAGTGCTAGGAACTGCTTCGACTCGTCTTAGATTTTGCTAACGAAATAGCTTGCTTAGATGGCTCTCGTGTTGCAATTCATAAATGTACTTCGAATTTCCGAGGACTTTGTATTAGAATATATTATTATTGTTTTACTATTTTATGCGTCTTATGTATATATATTTAAATCTAGCGACACATCCTCGCTATATTATTGCTCTCACTATGATAAAGGACTCGTGAACTTATACATTTTCAGTGTTAATTCCTTTTGTTTTTCTAGAATAAAAACAAGCGTACGTCATTCCCACCGGTTAAATGTAAATTTAATTCCCCCAATAATACTTTCTTAGATTTTTTAAATAAAACTATCTTTTCGCGACGGAACCCTTATTTATGGGTTATTTAGATCTGATATCATCCAAATGAGCAAAGTGGCTTAATATAAGGAGCTTAGTAGACACTTCGAATGTATTTACCCGTATAAATATAGATATTGCCCAAGTTAAGAGCAGTCGAGGCTTGTATAGTGTGGGTTGTGTTGCTGCTAGCTATTATTATAAATGATAAAATCTGGTTATAAAGCCATAAAGATTATCGTAGCCTGAAGCGTGAGCGTGTAAAATTGTTATTGCGGTTTTTCCCCAACAGCCGTTTGAGTCCAAATAAGCGTAACACGGTCGGGTATAACTCATGAAATATATAAATATCTTTAGATTTTTTTTAAATCTTTATTTATTGTTATAAATTAATTACACACACAGTATTAATTGTATAACTTTATTAAGTATAATACATATTATGTATATCATGCTTCGGTCCTAGAATGTATTTTTTTTGTAATAATCTATCGTTGTTCAAAAGACTATCACAACGTTTAAGAATTTGTAGTACCTAGAGTAATACTTTTTGTACCATAATTTTTTTACTTGAAATATTAGCCTCGATCTGGATTTAAACCCGCAAATTCTGGCATTGCAGTGGTTACCGATTTTACACAATATGTTTATACTTATACTTACTTTAACGTAGACAAAACTCTGAAACCAAAGAAATCACATTTTTTTTTAAATATAATAAAATATACCAGTAATTTTTTGATCTATATCATCAAAAACATCAAATCTCCGATATTTTGAATGAACGTAAATATTATGAATGCAGATGTAGTTTAGTACGTGCTCTTTACCGATTATACGAGTGAAGTGGAAAATGAGCGCAGAATAAATAAAAAGGCATAGTTCATTACAAATTTAATTAATTAGAACTATACTCGACCTCTTTCTGAATTTTAAAAACCGCGTTTAGTTGACTTATACTCCTGTAGATTCGCAATTAATCTGGAAGCGAAACTGTTTTAACAGGCATTTATGTTTGCTTTATGTTTCCTTTTTATATTTGTTTAGTTGTGAGAAAAAATTTTGCATGTAATAATAATAGTTACTAGTTAGCTTTAGGCAGCAATAATTTGTCTCTTAAGTTATATATGGATATATCCAAAGAGATTTGCATTCAATTTTACTCATTTTCAGCATTACCCAAAGCTATTGTGTTTTGGTTAAAGCTGACATCATTGGTTTGGTCTTTAGTGTTGTGCCAATATTGTAATAATCATTATATTATATCAATAGCGTTTTTGAAATCACAGACGTGTCAAGTAATGCTAAACATCGATGTTGCAGGTCGACCAGAGCCATCAGTGCGGTGGCTTGTCAACGGTGTGCTTGTTGATGAAGAATATGAACATAACACAGGAGATGTGATAGAAAATAGACTACTCTGGCCTGCGATACGACGCGCCGACTACGCGGCAGTCTTCACATGTCAAGCGGCGAACTCTCATTTAGTGCCGCCTAAAGAAGTTTCCCTAGTTCTAGATATGTTCTGTAAGTATGAGATATTTGATTTACTCTATAATGTTTATATTGCCTGGTTGTGATTGGCAAGAAGTCATGAGTTTGATTCTCGAAATATTTAAATTGGTGGTCCCTGTTGATATTATTGAGTATGTAGCGTTAAAGAAATTGATTTAATATAAATTGAATTCTTTCATTCAGTGGTTCCTAGGAGTGTCATTTGGGCACAATTTGTTTTAATTTCATATTTTATTGCCAATGTCATACTTTATGGTTTCCAACGTTTCGAATGTTTTGGCGCGGACATGGTTATGGGGAGACTGAGATTATTGATGTTTCAAAAGCAAATAGTTATATGAAGATATTAATATAATTTGCATACTATATATATATATATATATATATATATATATATATATATATATATATAGCTCCTATATACCGTAATATCTTACTGAAGGATCCACTTGACATATCGGAATAAAATATATATTTCAATAATAATATGAATATTTATGCTAATAACGAATTTCTATTTTATATCTTTACAAATTCCATATATTTTGAATCTAACTTAATCTAAATGACTTGAGTTTTAGATCTATATATATATAATAAAATTGTAACTAAGCCAACTCTGTACATTTTTTTTTTGAAAAATCTTATTTAAATAAACATTATTATCGATACAGAGGCCGAATCTTTAGTTTTTAAAATTTTTGTCTGTCTGTTACCGCATCAGAGAAAAACCATTGGAGGGATTTTGATGAAATTTGGTATGGTGATAGCTGGTTATACCGGTCAACATATAGGATACTTTTTATTGCGAGAAAATATCTCATTTCTGAGAAAATATACAAAAACTGTAATGTAATAGTATACTAATCTGTAAAACCTAAGAATTTGGTTTTTGGTCATCTGAACGCGGGCGGAGCCGCGGGCCTATCAGTTAGAATATTGGAAATTCTATGTAAACATGATCACTTCAAACTTCATAGGAGTATCAAGTATCGAATTCAATTCAATTTTCTTGTTAATGGCTTCAAAGCGTGCCAGTTAAGATATCTCGTCTTGTCATTGCATGACTTCAAACGAAAGTAAAATGGTTCTATAAATAATTGTCATATTTTGTATTTACATAATATGGTAACATATTATGAGGAATTTATTTCTAGTCCTAAGAAAGTATAATAAGTTTTCAATTTAAAGTTTCAATTCAGTTTCAATTCAGTTTAGTCCTAAGATGTAGAAAACAGGTATAATGGTACATGCCTTTTTACATAAGTTTCTTATCTAATTTACGTATCAATAGGGACTTACGTTTGGTTCGCTCGGGTGCGTCCTCAGGTGCCTAACAATAGCCGATTAAGTAATTTAACAGCCATTTTTCCATTTAAATTAATTTCTCAATGAAATTTATTATGATTTCTGATAGTAAACACATTTTTATCGGAATAAAATTTAACCTGTTGCATTGGGCGGCAGGTAAGATATTATAGCTTTCGATTAGTGCAAGAATTTACAGAATCAGATCAGTAGTTTCTGAGATTACCCACTACATCTAACCTTACCAATTTTACTTCTTAATAATATTGTATTGTAAATATTTTCTACTCAGTTCTTTATTTACGTCCTTCTGCTGGATACGGGCCTCTCTTAAATACGAATATATCCGAAGTATTAGGCTATAGTAAACCACGCTGGCCAACGGCGGGTTTGTGGACTTCACCTGTCTTGAGCAAACTTGCAAGGTTCTCTCAGTCAAACAGGTTTCCTCAAGACGATTTCATTCATCGAAAGACAAGTGATAATTATGTAGGAAATGATTCGCACATAAGATTATATATCAAAGGTGTGACACCCGGGATATCAATCAGCTTCACTTGGTTTTCCAAGTAGGCTAAGACAAGCCAAGTGAGAATGACTGACTTCAGTTAGAAATTTTGACAAAACATTTGTTTTTATAGAAATTATAAAGCTCGTAACCGTTTTTGACATCTAACTCCGAACTTTATATTTAGATTTATTTGAACTTAAGCACATATACTTATATCCAATCAACTTTCCGCAGTACGACCACTCACGGTGGATATCAAGAAACCATCAGAAATAGGTGAAGGAGGTGTTTTAACGGCAGAGAGACGGTATGAAGTCGCCTGCGAGTCGGCCGGCAGCAGGCCTCCAGCGGCCATCACGTGGTACAAAGGGAAGCGGCAACTTAAAAGAATAACGGTAAGTGATTTTTAAAACGCTCACAGTAGTTTTAGGTGTAATTAAATCTTGTGTGTCGATTTTTAACCTATTTCTAATTGTCAATTCGGTTTTTTAAATAAAAGTATGTTTTCGAATTTTTTCTCGGTTTTATTTTTTATTCCGGAAGTTTGGAATGCTATACAGCTAGAAATATGCCAAAGGTTTTTGACGCCTCAAAAGCTATAGTTATTATGGACGATATCTATCCTGAAAAGTAATTTGGAAGAAAAAAGAATGGCACTACAAAATATTTTATTCATATTGTATAACCATAGCAACCCCAAGTGGAATTATTTGTTTCATTTCTTTTTATTGATATTTTATATATTGTATACTCTGGTGCCATTTCGCTAAATCCAGGTATTACACAATAATTTTAAAACCTACAGCTGATCTAATGTCAATATTAACCATATTTTGACGTATAGTTAATTCTTTGAAATAGGGCTCATTTAATTCATATTCATTCATTCATATCCATAACTTTATTACAGTTCAAACTTCATCTAAGCATGCCTTTTTTTAGTCCTTGTAATTATAAATTTTATAGATATAAAAATTAAAACTCAGCAAGAATACTCTAAGTTTTTACTGACTCTAACATATTTCTTAATAATACAATAACTAACTTTTCAAATTTTTAGACAATAAAGAAAAAAACATGTAACTTTTAAGCTTCCATACTTGTCGACAGCACTTATAAGATGATTTTAAGCTTTGACACATGACGTGATTAAAAATGCAATAGCGTGATGTGGTAAGTTTTTGTAAAAGTGAATGCAATTTACAAATAAATGATGAACTTTTGATAGGACTTTAAACGCCCATTGGAACTGTACTTCTGAATAAAACATGATAAAACTTTTTTGTTTCAAAGTATTTACATCAAGTTTGAAGCTTAAAGCTGTAACACGTCTGGAATGCCGTATGAAGTGTAAACAGTAAAGTAAAATTTTATATTCTAAGGCTATATGAAAATGATTAAAAAATATATACTCGTAATTATTCTTAGTATACTTAATAATCTATACTAATATTATAAAGTGGCAAAGTATGTTTGTTTAAACGCGCTAATCTCAGGAACTACTAATCCGATTTGAAAAATTCTTATGCATTAGATAGCCCTTTTATAGAGGAGGCTATAGGTTATATATCATCATGCTGCTACCCGAGGGAGCGAGCAGTAATTATAAATGTTAACAAATCGGGCGGACATCCATATATTATTGTAAAACTGATGTTTATATCGGAAGTTTAAACGCGGGCGAAGCCGCGGTTACTGCTAGTATCTGATTTGACTATAGAGTACTTGTACCCAACTTTCGCATAAAAAAGTATGTTTTTCGAGTGTATGTATCCATGTTTCTTTGATACACTTAGACAAAGTGTGTTTTGTGACATAATAACAGCAATAATCATACTAATATTATAATTGCGAGTTTGTGAGTGAGCGTGTACATTTTCTATTTATTTATTTTATTTATTTATTTATTTTAGGGAAACAAACAGTACGATATTACATAAATAATTAATAATAATAGATAACACATAAACCAATGAAGTTTCCACAAATTAAACAATACACATATGAAGCAGACCATTATGAAAATGAGAAAAACAAAAAGCTAAACAATAAACTAAAAAATTACAAAATGAAACACTGCTTAACATGAATAATAAAAAAAAATAAAAAATAAGGAAAAACATAAAATACATAAAATACAAAATCAACAATTAAACAATAGGTTATTAATACTATTTTTGAAACTTAAAAGTGAATTTGAAAATGTGTCTATACTTGTAAATTTTTTATTTTACTCATTACTTGAGCGAAGTATAAAGATATTTCGAGCATATTTCGTTCTAGTACATGGCAGGTCAAAAATATCGTGGTTACGCTTACTAAATTTTGGAACCTTAAAATTCAAACAGCTTAATAAAAAAGGGCTATCAATGTGATAATCAATTTCGCCCTGTAAACCCTTCTTTCGACGTAATACCACGCATTCAGAACCCCGGGCAAATACTGGTTCTTATATACCAAAATGGCATGTTCTTATAAACAGAAATTAAACCCATACAAATTAAATAACAGCATTGTGCCGGCATAATAGCCATGGATAATGTGATGCGTGATTAAAGTAATAAGAAAGAAATTGGCTCTAAGCCAGCGTGTCTGTTCGCAAGCACTACAACAGGGCATGGGAAATGGGAAATCGATGGAATTACACTTTTATTTGAACCAATTTGAATAAACTCTAAACGAGGGAATAGCACCTGCCCGATATTATCGAGTGGTATTTGATACGCCCCTATTGGGGTTGTTTCATTTATTTTTAGTTCAATTCAGAAAAGACTTCTGGTTTTGATTGTGAACTTCCAAACTAATATTAAAATGTGAAAGTCTTTGAGAATGGATGGATGTTTGTTACTCAATCAAGCTAGAACGTTTGCACGGATTTGCAAGAAAGGCACAAAAAATAGTCTGGAATAGCACACAGGTTACTTTTTATCCCGGAAAAATGTAAGGTTCCCTTGGGATAGATTTGTTTTTGTCTAAGGACGAATCTAGTAAATAAATAAACGCTAGTAAATAACATTTGTTAGAAAGAGTTCCGCTGAATAACTGAATAAGTACAGCAAGGGACGGAATGTTAATTTATCAAAATTGTTTGACATTCAAATCCAATTTACTGAGTCGCATAGAAACCGCTTGTCGCTTTGACTATATTCGAATCAATGGGATGCATCCTATAATCATTATAACGGTACTCCATTGTGTAAGCAAATTAATAGCACACGCTCGAGGCTCGTCTCAAAGTGGCAAATCCATTTGCCTTACATTTAGATACACCCGCTGTTTGTGAAACTAATAAAGATTATTAGAGCTTTGTTTGAGCTTAGCTGAAAGCTAATTGTTGTGTAAATAAAATATTTAAGCTCGTTATTTTATCTATTGTATGTTAATATTTTAAGCTATCACCTATCGAGGATTTTAATAGAGAATAATGAATGTTTGGCCGGTATTGGTATTGGCCTATTTTGTAGTAGGTTACGTGTTTGACTCTTATGAGGATATTCTATTAAATTCTGAAATTATTCATGAGAAAAGCACATTACATGGAAATAAATGAAATCATTATATTGTTTTTATTAAATAGCTTTAATAATGATCTGTTCTGCTAAAATTATCACGATTAGTTCAATAGACAAAAAAAAAATGAAAAGACGATGCTCCCTAAATTGAGCGGAAAACAGACGCACTTTACTTATAGAGCAAAGTTAAATATAATATTTTAATACAAATATTTGTCTAGATAGGATCTATCGAAATTGCAATATACACCGTGGTCCAAAATAACGTTGACAAAATTAAAAAAATAATATTTAAAAAATGGAATGCCTTGCGTTCTCTTTTGATTTTGTTTATTCTTTCTTCATTCTTTGGCGCCATTTTAATATTGTTCGTTGGCTAAAAAGTTTTAAAATATATTTATTACGTTATGTTAGAGCAGCGTGGAGCCATAATTTTATTGTATGAGCGTGGAAAACGGCAGTGTGAGCTAGTAAACTTTCTTGGTGTTAGTCGTCAGCTAGTTTCTTCAGCAATTAAACGCTATGTTGAGCTCGGCAACATCGGAGACCGTCCTGGGAGAGGACGCAAGCGGACTGTTCGAACTGCTAGGAACCAACACATTACCAAACAAAGATTAGTCCGAAATCCACATACCAAGGTGAGAAAAATGTCGCGAGACTTGGGAATAAGTCGCTCCACCGTGCAGCGTATAGTGAAATATGATCTCTAATCAATACCATACAAACTCAGAAAAGCGCAATTACTTACAGAGAAAGACAAAATAAGTTCGCCTTGAGAGATGTCGTTTGCTTAAACAACGCTCCGCTGCTTCGAATTGGAAAAATATCGTATTCTCCGACGAACATTTTTTTTCGATAGAACAAGCCCATAATCACCAAAATGACAAGATCTGATCTTCCACTCGTCCTGGAGCTGCCGCAGGCATTCCACGTCTCCAAAACGCAAAATCAATTATGGTTTGGGGTGCAATCCGCGCCACTGGCAAAACTCCCCTCGTTTTTGTAGAAAATGGTATAAAAATTAACCAAGAAAATTACCGACGAGACATCCTTGAATCTGTGGTTATTCCTTGGAGTCAACAGCACTTTGGTAACCATTCATGGATTTTTCTACAAGACTCTGCTCCAGCTCACAGAGCTTTAAGTGTTCAACAGTGGTGCAAAAGCAATTTCCCTGATTTCATCAGCTCAAAAGAATGGCCACCCTACTCGCCTGATCTGAATCCAATGGATTACAGTTTATGGTCAATATTAGAGGCAAGGACCTGTTCTACGCCTCATAGAACTGTTGATGACCTGAAGGCTACTCTTACACGGGAGTGGGACAAAATATCTGTTGAGGAAGTGCGGAAAATTGTGGAAAATTTTACCAAGCGTTTGGCTCTATGTATTCGCGCTAAAGGAGGTTATTTTAAAGACAAATAGGGATTCTTGTAAAAAATAAGTTGTATTTTTATAATTTATAGCATAATTTCATTTAAGTTTAAAGTTAATAAAATTATTTGAAAAATCACTTGTCAACGTTACTTTGGGCCACCCTGTATAATATATAGGGCAAGACAGTTTATTAAGTAACTTCTGACTCATGTATACAATCCATCGTGTAACTTGGCTCATCATGATACATTGAACAGCTTGCACCAGCGCTGCCCAGCACGCAGATGACAACGACGCAATATATAGCATATTATGTAACCCAGTAGTGGGCACTTAGGCAGTAATTATAGCCGATAATAGAGGATAACTGGCGTTTGGCCAGTGGCGAGGGACGTCCAATATTTCATATCGATGCAATCGATCTTTTCAGCGGACCATTAAATTCTGCAATCGGAAGTTAATTTCAAGTCGGATACACTCATACCTGAATTAACCGATTCATGAGA